TAGTAACGCATAAAAAGTCATAGTATAGTAAGGCATAAAAAGTCATAAAAACGACATAGTATATTAAAGCAGAAAAAGTCATAGTATAGTAAGGCATAAATAGTCATAAAAACGTCATAGTATAATAAGGCATGAGATGTCATAAAAAGGTCATACTATGGTAAGGCATAAAAAGTCATAAAAACGTCATAGTATAGTAAGGCATAAAAAGTCATAAAAACGACATAGTATATTAAGGCATAAAAAGTCATAGTATAGTAAGGTATAAAAAGTCATTGTATAGAAAAGCATAAAAAGTCATAAAAACGTCATAGTATAGTAAGGCATAAAAAGTCATAGTATAGTAAGGCATAAAAAGTCATAAAAACGACACAGTATAGTAAGGCATAAAAAGTCATAAAAACGTCAGTATAATAAGGCATAAAAATGTCATAGTATAGTGAGGCATGAGATGTCATAAAAACGTCATGCTGTGGTTAGGCATAAAAATTCATAAAAACATCATGGTATAATAAGGCATGAAAAGTCATAAAAAGTCATAGTATAGTTAGGCATGAGATGTCATAAAAATGTCATACTATAGTAAGGCATAAAAAGTCATAAAAACGACATAGTATAGTAAGGTATAAAAAGTCATAGTACAGTAAGGCATAAAAATTCATAAAAACGACATTGTATATTAAGGCATAAAGAGTCATGGTATAGTAAGGTATAAAAAGTCATTGTATAGAAAAGCATAAAAAGTCATAAAAACATCATAGTATAGTAAGGCATGAAAAGTCATAAAAACGACATAGCATAGTAAGGCATTCAAAGCGATAAAAAGTTAAAGTATAGTAAGGCATAAAAACATAATAGTATAGTAAGGCATGAAAAGTCATAAAAACGTTATAGTATAATCAGGTATAAAAAGTCCTAGTATAGTAAGGTGTAAAAAGGGCATAGTATAGTAAGGCATAAAAAGTCATAAAAAGTCATAGTATAGTAAGGCATATAAAGTCATAAAAACATCAAAGTATGGTACGGCATAAAAAGTGATAAAAATGACATAGTATAGTAAGGGATTAAAAGTGATAAAAACGTAATAGTATAATACGGCTTAAAAATGTCATAAAAAAAGTCCTTGTATAGTTAGGCATAAAACGTCATTGTATAGTTGAACATAAAAATGTCATAGTGTAGTAAGGCATAAAAAGTTTTCAAAACGTCATAGTATAATAAAGCATAAAAATGTCAAAAAAATGTCATAGTATAGTAAGGCATAAAAAGTCATAAAAACGACATTGTATATTAAGGCATAAAAACTTCAAGGAGTAAGTCGGAGTACCTGGATGGAACCCATGCAGGTATAGGGTCAACATGCAAACTTCACACAGAAACGCTTTAGGCCTGGGGTTCGAATCCTAAGAATTCTAAGTGTAAGGCAACAGTTCTAATCACTGTACAACCGTCCCAGTCTATCTATAGTAAGGCATGATAACATTATAGTATTGTAAGGCATAAAAGCATCATAGTATAGTAAGTTCGCTTATTTCGCTTAAGCCTTGTGCCAGCCTTGCTATTACCACTTGTAAGAGATGAGTTGGCAGGTCCACTGACTGCACAGGACTTTGACGATAATTGCCAACTGATTATAGCCTACATGTAGAAAATACCAATTATGCTGTAAATAGCAAATGGACTGAATGATTACAATAAACTCAATGGTAAACAAATGACACCAGTTATCTCTTTACAGGTTGGGTGGGTATGAAATGTGGTCTATTTACATTATATCGTCATCATCATCACAGTGTAAAATAATCCAGTACACTGCTTCCATTTCCTCAGTCCGCAACATGCATGTTTACTGTCGCCATGGGAACAGGTGCCGGTTTAGTAGTTAACGGTAGCTTAGACCACATATTATCGATGAACAATAAAATTGCAATACGTCATTTCTTAACAAAACAAATATCAACACCAACACCCATACTATCAAAGACCTTAACCCGGTCCTGTCACTTCATATCTTACAACCGTTAATGTAGTGCACGTTACTTAAAAAAGCAGAAATGGCATCATCAGCAGGTGATCACGTGTTTTAAGAAAGTGGCCTAGTTACTCAGATTGATTTTGGTTAAGACAGTCAGTCAGAAAGCTTCAAAACTCGGTACGTGAAAGCCACAAACGAAACGTAGAATTCAGATCGACAAATGCCTTTTTGCTTCACAAATAGAAAATTGATTCACAAATGTTTTTCATTTATTTGTAAATAAATTGAATGTATTCAGATATTTTTTTTTATTTGTGGAATTCGAAAAATCTGTTTTATATTTTTAAAATATTTTTGTGAATTTGCAAATGTACTTTTTGTATTTGTGGAACGTGTTTTATATTTATAGATTATACAATTACACCCGGATTGTTGATCTGTTCACACTGTTCATTCATAATATTGAAACAAATCTACCTCCATAGTATACACACTTAAGTGATGTAAAGTGACAAAGCCAACAAATGATACATTTCAAAATGCTTTATATACAAGTTGCACATACAACATGAAGACTTAAACAATATAAGATTTATACACTTTGTACATCAGCTGACTAGAAACCACTGACAATACTAACAGAAGTGACATGGGGAGAGAGTCAAGCCATTTAGAACACAAGTCAAAGAAATTCACAAAATAATGAAAAAAAATCAGCATAGTTAATTCACCAGTATGGAAGGTAAATATCAAGAACTGTATTTGCAAACTAAATATTCTTTATATTTTCATCAGTATAATGCCACCTTATTTTGTATTCAGTTCTTTCCCTGTTCCGAGATCAATGTGCCATTACCTCCTTTTTTTTTTTTTTTAAAAACTTTATCCTTTCAGGAAAATGAAATCATGATCTGTGTTCGAGTTATCAACGGAATGCACAGTTCAGACAAGGCCTACCCATATTTACTCATTTTCAGCATCATGTGGGCTCCTAACATGAACATTTCACCCACAGTAAGGCACAGTGACTAAAAGAAGAGGTCAATCCAGATATATGACGAGGGAAAATACCATTTTTGTATAGACACCTTTTTTTCTGGAGTACAACACAAAGTTAAACATTGTGCCCTTGTTTTGTAAAGCAACTAAGGACTGATGCAGCCAGACATCCACTCATAGACACAGTACTATTGTAAGACACTGAACAGAGAAATTTCTGAGAAACAAGTAGCAGTAATCATACTCATGAACACAATAATCAGTAAGTCAGTTGGCAAAGGTTATCAGAGAGTGGCAGCCCAAAAGTTAAATCTCAACATAATGAACTGATCTTCACGGGGGGGACAATTTGTGCTGCAAAGCGCTCTGTTAATGTACCTGGTTTGGAATGGAGACACTTCTCAATGTACATTATGTTGATCCTCTATTTGTCCACCAGAGGGAGTACTAGTCCACTTATTCCAATTGCAGAGAGATATGACTGTCCACATCTGAGATTTATTCAACGTCTTTCTGACTGGTTTCCTGGTCAGCACAAGGTGAGGAGAGGGAAAATAGGCCGAGGCCCCTTTTGCACATGCAGGTGCTGCGCTTCAGAGTAGAGCTAAAATCAGATTGGACAGGTGCAGGGGTCGTGGATTGATTGGGTTGAAAGATCTGTTGCATATTGTGCTGTAGTAGCTGGCCGAGGGGGGTGGGGGGTGGGTGGAGGGGTGGCTGCTCACAGGAGCAGGCTTAACTGTCGTCCTCGTCGTCTTGCTGGTCGTCCGTCAGTACCTCTGGCACCCGGAAACACTCCTCAAAGAAGTTGACCAGAGACTGGCTCAGGTGCTGCTGTGTCCCATCACTGTGTAGGAAATGTCCTTCATCTGGATAGATCTGTAGGTTAATACACAGCAATGGCGGATTTATATGATAGAGCTGCAACTAATAATTCTTTCATTATCAATAAATCCTTTAATTTTTTTTTTTTTTTTTTTTTACTCATGTAGGCTATAAAATCAGAGAAAATAGGGTAAAATTTCCCATCACTGTTTTCTGCACCTTTTTTTATCACTTTATTTGCCATCATTGAAAAACCAAAAGTTATACATTTTTTAATAATATAAAATAGAAAAACACAGCAAATCAAAGGAGACTTAAACAACAATAGATAAGTTCACTTTTTTATTTAATTTTATACTAAAACATTACTCACTTGTCCATGCGATATCTAAACATTAAGATTGAAAGGACCTTTGAAACAGCAGTGGGCAAAACAATTTCTCACCACAAAGTCCATTAGTAGGTGTTCTGGAGCTTTCAATTGTATCACACAGTTTTAAGTTCCATGGACTTTGTGGTTATATTGGTTTGCCAGCTCTTGTACACTGAAACATCTTAATGCAATTCCAATTTAAGAGATGAGAACAAAATCCACAGTTGTGGTTCTGTGAAAATGTGCAGAAACTAACAGACTTCAGCAGTCTGAAGTAGACAAACCAGTTGGGTATCTTCTGTTTTTAGTACAAAATTCACTCAATTTACTTCTTGAGTTGGAGCAGAGGGAAAGTAATGTAACAAAAACTGAATTTCATTCTGGTAAGAAATTCAATTTCATGTGGTTATGACTACTCACTTGAAAAACAACCACACTAGTTCCCCTCAGCTCTGTGGAGCTGTATATCGTCTTTCTGTTCATCAATGAAAAAGGCTCGACTATTTTCCTCAAGAGTTTGTTGAGATCAAAACAGAGCTAAAAGGAGCAAATGTAGATGTCCATTCAGCATATTAACTTAAAAGGTGAATGTTGTGTTCCTAACTTGTTTTTGCTGCCCTCAAGTGGCCATAAAATGTGTTATTTTGTCCCCCATCTCTTATGTTGGTTGGTATTTAGATTCTGAGTAGATTCTTTTTCAACTTCCCTTAACCTGATCCCAACCTTACCCTACTTATAACCAGCTATCTTAGCCTATACCTGTGCGCTGGAATCTAACATTTGCTCTCTTATATTGTTTTCATTTTAGGAAGTGAGCTCTTGACACAGCATAAAGAGGGGGAACATTTTCAGCAACCGTTTCATTGTACATCAACCAGTGATTTTAGCTCACCTGTAGAGTGTAGTTGGCCTTCTCGCTGATTAAATGGTTGATAAACTTGGCCGTGTGCTGGAAGTGAACCTTTTCTGTGGAGGTGGTAGTGAAGACGAGATTGGAGAGGCACATTAGTGACCAATCACACAAACTATGAAGTGAAACAAAAACTTTTTCACTCTCTGCTGAGTAAAAGATATATCCAACACTATGTCCCTTACCGTCTGCAGTTGGGTGAATTATCAAGTACTGTTTCTCCAGAAGCTGACCCGCTCTGTGTGCTAAATTCGTCATCTGAAGGAAAAGAGGAAGCAGAAAATCCACCATGTCATCAACATCCTCTTGACCCTGTAATTCATCCCCATTCAATTCAGCAAAACATCTTGTTGCATGATTTGGATAAAGAGACAGAAGTGTTGGAACTTTACCGTATATACTCGGGAATCTGTCTTTAAACCGAGGTATCGTTCTGAAAATGCAGATGCTGCAATTTGACAAATAAAAAAAAAACGGTTTAGAAAGATCAGGTGCCTTTAGACGCTGTCCCAAGATGTCTTTAAGACATCCACAAAAGAATAATATCAAGACAGTTATACCATATAGCTCAAAGTCCGTGATGGGTGAGACTGCTGTTCCACATTTAAGTTGGGTAAACTCTTCAGAGCTCAAAAGCATTGTGGCTAAATATCCTCCATAGGCCTGTACAAAGGTAGAGGAGACACAGAAACACATCAAGAAAACAAAAATAAATTAATTACACCTTGTGAAAATAATTAACATGTATGGCATCTGTTGTATTTATGAAGGCATTCAGTTGAAATCAAAATTACAGAAGCCTCTTTGATCACGTGTTCTTCTTACCCTTCCATAGACTCCCATTCGATTCTTATCGATGTAAGGCTCTTTGGATATGAACCTGAAAATGAAAGAAAATGAGTCAAACTGCTCAGCCTTTTGCTACGGTCGTGCTCACAGTTGTAGGAGAAGTCTGACCTGAGGGCCTCCAGCTGATCCCTCTCCTCCAACTTTCCCAGCTTTCTCCTGACTTTGTGGAGAAGGTTGGTGCCCCGAAAGCCGCTGCCGTGGCCGTCGAAGCGGATCACGATGGTACTGAAGCTACTGACCAGAACCGTGGCCCAGTCCACCTGGAACTGCTCTGTCACCATCTGCCCACCAGGCGTACCGTCCCTGTGGAAAATATATGACAGGATGATGATAAGGAATAACTCACCTCTCAGAGATGTATGTTCAATTTCATAATTGGTCAAATGGGAGGGTTTAACACCTAAAATTGACTATTAGAAAAAAAGGTCTCCAAAGTCAGAATTTGCGAAAAAGAGTGGACAAAATAACAACAACACCTTGCAAATGAATGAAGTCAAACATAAATTTGTAGAGTCCTGTCTCAAATTTTGAACAGTATTTTTCATATCTGTAGCATTTAATGCAATTCTAGTTTATATTATATTTTACCATTATATCGTAGTGCTGAAACAATTCCTGATGCCATTAGTCGAGTGACTCTTCAAAACACCCTATTGAGTTGCATTATGGGAAATGCAGGCTCTAGCATTTTTGGATTTTAACCCATACTTGGGGACTAAAAGTAACTTTTTTGACTGTTCTGTTTTTAATCTGACTCTTGTGAGACCCCAAATCTAGGGAAGTGATAGCTGGGGTACTCCTTCTAAACGATGATGGTAGTTGCAGTCATCCTCGTTCCTACGTACACTAGCAGCAGTAAGGGGTAATGGGCAGTCTCTACGAATCCAGCTGGCTTCAGAATCTGCATCGTCAGAACTACAACAGACAACAGAGGGTTAACGTTCAGTCTTATAATACAAGGTGACTGGCAAGTAATCTTGTATTTGGTAAAGTGGACACATACTATAGTCGTCTATGGTGATGGTCTTGTATTCCACCCTGGGCATCTGCATGCTATTATACGTCTCATTTACTTTCTCATTCATCTCCACGTCGAACACCTCTGCAGCGAAAGAAGAAACTCAATGAGAAATCTATCAATGAAAACATATTTGCAGTGAATTCAGTGCAGATTATTGTACATGATGATGTAGAAGGACAACAGAACGGAGACAACACTCACTCAGTTTGTCCTTAGTGCTATAAATAGCCACACTTGGTATATCTGGGCCTATAAAGAACAATTCAGGGAAAAACAATTAGCAAGAATGTAATTATAGAAGTTAAGTTGATTAGCATGATAAAATATCATGTAAGAAGACCCTGACAATAGGCTAAAATGCCTCCGACAAACCAGTAATCACAACTGTGAAACACAAACCTCCACTGCAAAGGAATCATCTCTGTCTTATCTTAAACAGACTTCAGAAACAGGCCTCTCAGCCAGCTCCACAGTTAATCTACTTCCGTCCCATGAGGAAGTAGCTTATTATTTCACAATGGAGCTAGTCTCCAAAGATCCAATTAATGCAGAAAGCCACTGGCACTTTTCCTCTCTGGAGTGAGCGCCCTAAACAAATCAGCTTCCATGGAAACTGCGTTGTTGTGCCCCAGTGCTGAAGCCACAAGGAAAAAAAAAACAAAAAACAGTAACAGAATGTCTCAGAGGAACACAAGGACTACATCTCGTAAACAACCACACAATGCTAACCACTGGGCTTGCTCTCCTTTCCATTTATCAAATACTAAAAGCAGAAAGCCACACTCTCTTCGCCAGCAGCTCAGCAGTACTCACATCACTGCAGTCAGACAAGACATTTATTTCTGTGGCTAATCAGAAGGATCCAGCAGTGGTTTGAGGTTATCTGCTAATGTCCAGTTCGATATAAGCTCTCAACCTGACACAGAGCACTAATTCAATTACACTTTCCACCGAACACGGCTCTCTACGTCCCCGAGTAGACTTCCATTCTCGGGAGTGCTGGGATGTAAAACACACTCAGTCCGCTGCTACAAAAAAAAAAAAGAAAAAAAGTCACGACTCGAGACATTCAAGGTCGACGTACTCACCTTTACAGTTGAGTAAGAAGTACTGCATATTGTGGCTGAATGAAACGTCCACATAGCCACACTTGAACTCGCAAGAGAGGCAGCAGCGGTTGAATGGAGGGATTGTGTCGGCGCTGTGGGATGGCACTGAGTGAGTATCATTATATACCCTAAAAAGCACTCATAGAAAACATAGAAGCACTTTTAACTTCCAATAAAACCATACCTATACAAGTGTCGTCGTTTGGGGTTGTCCTCTGTGCTCAGAAAGTATCTGGAAAAACAGCCAAACATCATCACCAAACAACAAAACACCCTCGACTCAGCAGCGGCTGATAAAAATATGTAAAAATATCAAAACATCTTACATGAGGTTCCTTTGATGATTGTATGCCAAGATGCTGGTGATGTCCCAGTCCCCAGACGTCAGGGACTGAAGTATGTCTGTGCTAGTGTTAGGCTGGGTGAGAATAACACAGGGGGGAACACTAAACACTCTGTACCAAGCCTCAGAGGACACGTATTATGAGGATAATTTTGTCATTACCTACCATCGAGGTGGACATAGAGATGTGAAAAAACTTTCCTCTCCCACCCTGAGGTATTGCTCGGGTGAAGAAGAACTTGTGTCCGTCTTGGGAAAAGAGTGGCACTTCATTCTGCAGAGAGGAGAAAAAAACAAAACACCTGCATGTAGATATGAAGTTTGTGTCCAAAACGTCCCTGCAGGGCCTTTTTTTTTGTTGTATCTCCTGTTATTTAATTGTTCAAACTCAGACACACGGAGAAAACGCTGTCTGTTTTTTAACCAACTGCTCAGCAACGGGGCGGCAGCGTTTTGATCACGTACCTGTCTGTGCAACCAACTGTCACTCTCATCTTCATGTTTCTGAAAATAATAAGAGGGCATGAGTTGAAAGCCAACAAATCACTTAAAAAATGATAAATCTGTCAGTATTCTTTATTGTTTGTTATTGTCAACAAAAGATACAAAATAAGAGTGTGTTAGTCCATCTCTTTGACACTTAGATAAATATGCTTATTTACTTTCTGGCAGTGAGTTTCATGAGAAGATTAATGCCTTATATGTGTCTGTTAAATGAGTGGTTATGACCATTAATGGACAGTACGAGAGTGGTATCAATCTTTCTTAGTCTTACTACTATTTCTCAAAGTGTTGAACAATTCCCTTAAAAACTGGTAGCAAAAATATACTTTAATTTTAAAAAGAAAGCAAATAAATTTCCTAAAACAGCAGACCAATGTAGTTTTCAGCCAACATTACACAAACAGGACCAAATAGTGCACTTGTTGGGGACTATTTTGAGCTGCAGATTTGGTGAGAGTAGGTTTGACTAAATGAGAGGAATAAGCTATAAAAGGCTACACAAGTTGTTATTTGTAAGTAGGTTAAATTCATAGTTGGTTTTGTTATACAGACACAAAAAACACAGTGGCAGCAGATTTCACACTTTGTTTCACCTTAATGCAGACTCCAGTCGTAGCCTCACACAGTGTCAGGATGGAGTTGTTTTGCGCTCTGTTCAGCCAGTTTACAGCCAGTTTGGTGCTGGTGGCCCATTTCACCATGGTGATATAATATTCCCTCCTGGAAAAACCAGAAGGTGGAAACACATCACCACCACTGACCACCTCTGTCTCGACTACCTTAAGAAAACGCTCCAGGGCTATTTTCGGTGCTTTCAATGAGGCATCGTTGAGCTGTCACTCACCCTATTCGGGGGTCATCAGGTTTCTTCATCACCACGGTGTGCAGGGGACCATTGAGGCTCACCACAGACAGGTGCACTACAGGGTTTTCCTCCCCAGCCTGCAGGGGCCAAGAGGAAATTAGATAGGTCAGACTGGATTTCAGGTCAAGACAGTGACGAATTGTCTTTCTGTTCTGAGGTAAACAAGCTCCATGAAAGTCTTCTGTGTACAGTGGTAGAATGTAACTAACTACATTTACTTATGTACAGTGATGAAGTACACCTTGAGGTACTTGTGTTTTCCAGTTTTATGATCATTTATACATCTAATCCACTATTGCCTGTTACAGATTAAACTAAAGTTGTTATATTTAGCTCTATCTTGACAGCATTAAAAGGCTGAATCAGTAATGGTCCAATCATGCAAACCATATATTATAAATACACGACTACTACTACTTTTAATTTTTATACTTGAAGTACATTTTGCTGAAAATACTTCTGGGCGAAAGATTTTGTATGTAAAACTTTCACCTGTAATGTAGTATTTTTTTTCTTTGTGGCAGTGCTACAGCACTTCTTCCACAACTTTCTGTGTACAATAACATCAACATGATAGCATCAAACGAAGAGCAGGAGTGAGAGTGTGGCTGAATTCAACTTGCCTTTGGATAGTGATACTCCAGGTTAGTGGGGTATGGCGTTCCCGTGAAAAATGGGACTTCCATCTTCGGTACCAGCGAGTCATTGATGGTCATGTAGGCCAGGCGCAGCCCGTCTGGAGACCACCAGTGGGCTATTTGGGTCTGCAGGATCTCCTCTAAAATACAAAACAAACAGATAAAACACACACACACACACACACACATACACACACAGACTGTGAAAAATGTGTGATACTGAAAATCAGAACACATTTTTGAAGATGTGGAACAAAATATGTTGTGTATTTAACTGTCTTTTATTTTTCTGGGTACCTGTTTATTTCTATATTGTGTACACTAGTGCACTGAAGGAATGCAATTTGGTTCCCCTGTATACTGAGTACTGTACATGGAGCGAATGACAATAAATTCTACCTTGACCCTGACCTAATGTTTTCAGACTGACTGTGCAGACAGGTGGAAAAAAATAGTCAAATCCACATGACAATCCATCTAAAAATATAATGTTTGACTCCTGATGCTCCTGCAAAGTCACTGCAATGCAATGCTTCAGATAAAAAGTTTGCTTTGCTCTGTCTGCTGTGTGTCTATCAGTTGGTGTTTATGTACTTAATAGTCTGACACTGATAAAAACATTTCCAATATGTCACCATTTGAACAGACACTACTTTAATATTTGCAGCCTGTGTGATTTATGATGCCCAATCCCTGTCGTGTCACTGAGGAAAAATAAATCAATTACTCTTATCATATTAAGACAGTTTGAAATCCAACCACATGAACCAGACGCTGGGTGTTAAACACACTATGTTGATGCAGATTTAATGCTTATGAATCAAATAATGAGAAATTAATATGAATCATCATAAATATATGATTACTACACCTGTTATGTTATGACTGCAATTTTCATTAATCAAGAACAGGGGCGGCTTTTCCCCTCTTCTTTCTTCCCTTCATAATCTTTTAATCAAGCGTTCTCCTTCTGTGGCTGAAGCTTTCTTTGCCTTTGCCTAATTCTACTCTTTAAGGTTTTGTTGGTGGCGGTGGAAAACAAAACTGGACTTTGATCGATTGATGGACATACTATAACTGAGGGAGCTGACATTTTGGAAGAAATCAAGACAAAAGGTGCAAAAACATCTCAAACACCAACTCAAAAAGGTAAATTGGATTATTTTGAAAGGTTGTCCTTGGCATTTCAGTGTAAAATCACTTTCCCTCACTGATTACTTTCTTTCCCAGCTGTTTCCTGACGAGTGACTTTCATCCAGCAGGGGGCAGAAGAACTCTATGAAACGCACTCAGAGTACACACTTGACTGCACCTACATGTGGAGATCCAAACAAAAGCCTTTTCCGGGCAAAAATGATCAGCTCAACCTTGATGAGGACTTTGTGATTTTGTTACCATTGATGATGTCAGGCAATAATCATTTTATTGAGGGTGAAGTGTGTTATAACAGGGTCAGAGTGGTCAAAGGAGGCTTTTCAGTGTTTGCATTCTCAACAGGTGATTTAGTCCTTGCTCTAAGGCTAACTATTTTATTTCACCAGAATTTTCAAGGCCTGTGCCCAAGGAACATGAGCCATCACTATTTCTAAGGCAACTACCTTTCTAATTCTTCTAGAAGAATAGGAGCAGCACAACATAACATTTTATCCATTATTTTCTGAAGGTTGGAGCATTTGGTAAGATTCCTGGTGTGCTGTTCTTAAAATATGCTGCCTTTGTTGACATTTACATCAACCACAGGCTACACACTGAATCTGCAGCTTAAAGAAGACAACAAAACACCCATATTTCATGTCACAGCTCCACAGAAGAATGGGATGGTTTTGCATTGCTTGTCCTCGCACATCCACTGTGACACTCTGTCTTCTTTGCAAGCTTACAGCTGTCTAAACCTCCATCAGCAGGGGAGGGACCACATGCACAGACCAAAACCTCCAGAGCTTCATACTGTATGAACAGATGACTGCAACTGAAAAGACAAAACCTACACACTGGATTCTTGGGAGAGCTCATCTCATCTCATCTCTCTCATCTCCCAAACCTACGGCTCTACAGGATACTTTGTGAAAGCCTTTCCCATGACTTCACTATCTTCAATCTCTTGATCAAAGTTACAGTTCACATGTTTGTTGATGCTTCATTATGACAACTGGGGAATAAGTATTAATATATATATAATATATAATATATAATATATATATATATATATACATACATATATATATATATTATATACATATATATATATATTATATATATATATATATATGTTGGCAAAACATTGTTTAAACCCACAGGACTGTGGATTTGAAAATTTTGTTAGCATCTAAATATTTTATGAAAATGTGAATCCTTTGATTCAGAAGCCGTCAGTCAGTCATCTAAGATATTCTGTTTGATGCAATGACGCAGCTATAACAATGGCACTATTTGTTTGAATATTTCACTTAATATAATATATAAAACTGTAACTTCAATGAACTCTGGAACAAACAGATTGTGAATTTACATACAGTACAGTTTTATAGGCTCAGAATGAATTAAATTATAAGTTTAATTTAAAAAAAAATGATTGAAAATATTTTTGAAAAATTTATTTTTTTTAAATGAAATGTTTGAATGCAACTGACCTGAAATCATCTGTTTTACCTCTTTAAAACAAACCACTACCAATTCTGTGATGGAAACAAAGTTTAACTTTTCTCATTCAAAGATGAGGATATTTGGCTGTACTGCACTAAATACCTGAGAGAAGAGGCAGCCTCACCTTGAACCACATTCTAACAACTTCTGCCAAAATCTCGCCAGAACAATACAGTTCATACTGCTAACACTGTAAGCGACGTCTGTAACAGCTGTATGCTGCATGATCTCTGTTTTTGTGAGACAGTCTGTTATCCACTGATAAATCCGTGAAATACAGTGGGAAAATATGGCAAGGCAAATCTTTCTGTAGCATTGAAAATGGATTACTTCTTTCATGTCATGTTCTGTGTCTGCAACAAAGAAATAATCCCATTAATGAAAAACCGATTAGAGGCGACCCTGAAGCAGTTCATGCACTGTTACAGAATTTCTCTCATAATAACCAGCATTTTACAATTACATTATACAATTACACTGTGATTATTATCTCAAACCGCCCTCTGAATAAAAGCAGAATGAATAAAATAATAACAGAAATTGAAGTCTTCACTTACTAAACAACAACTTACCTATAAACTGCATTATAAATGACTAGTCGCACTAGTCGCACTAGTCTCAAATAAGACAGTGAAGCCGTAAACAAAGCCATATCCAAGTGGTATGTAATTGGAATGTCGTCTCACATGCAGAAAAATGTTTCATACTCAATTACAAGCAAACTTGAACATCTGCTGAGTGAGATTGCAGCACTGCAAACATGAATTAATTAAAAACTGCCTGAACACAAAGACAAGCTATGGGAAGTCTCGTGAAGGAGGGGCACTGAAACGTAGCCAGCTGTGCTCTCTCAGATGGAATCATGCACACAAACAAACAACCACGCCTCGGGGACGGGGAAGTGCAGGGCAGGTGTCACAAGACTGGATTATAATGGTCTTCAAATTTGGTTGGTTGAATACACTATATGTCCAAAAGTTTGTGGACACCTCCCACCAGCGGTAAACACATATTTTTGTTTACTGAGACTGTTAGTTCCAATTAAAGCCGCTTTAATACATATTTTTATTTTAACAATGGAACACGTAACTACTTTGATGTGAAAGTTGTCGCTTGGAGTGTTGAACCCACAGAGAATTATCATCCAATGCTGCAGTTCCCCAATGCTCTATGGAGCATTGTAGCATCTCTCTGCTCATTGTTTTGGTTTTCAGATTTGCAAAATTTACTCTTTGATTTGCTTTTAATGCTCAGCTGTACTTCAAAATGGCTCCAAAAACAAATTGTAGGCTACTTGCTCAGCACCAAATAGCAGGCAGATTGAGATAGCACCTAACTGGTGAACATAGTGAAGCCACATATTTTCCTTGTAGGTGGGTAGAAAGCAACAATTAAAAGAGGAGTGAACATTGAACAGTAAATAGGTGACAGGAAACATGCCTCCACATTAATTTTAATTGTGTTTTGTGTCTGTGGGATATACAAATACACAACTGTTTGATAATACGTTCACCATATTAATTTGAAAGGCGACAATATACATTTATATTGTTTACGTTATTCCAACTTTGTGGCAGTAGTTTGGAGAAGGCTCTTCTCTGCTTCAACATGACAATGCTCCCATGCAAAAAGCAAGTCCAAATGGTTTTCCTAGTTGGGTGTGGAAGAACTTGCAAAGAGCCCTAACCTAAACCCTATCCAGCAACCTTGAGATGAATTAAAATGCAGACTGTGAGACAGGCCTCATCGCCCAACATCAGTCTCTGACCTCACTAATGCTCTTGTTGCTGAAAGGGAGCAAATCCCTGCAGCCTGTGTCCGAATTCTTGTAGAAAGCTTTCCCAGAGGGGTGGAGGCTGTTCTAACAGCACATGCATGCCCATGGGTTTGAAATGAGATGTTCAGTAATCTATACTCTGTCTTTGAAACACAGAAATGATGGATATGATATTAACCTGGGTTTTGTTGTGTTTTGGTGAAACTGTTTGTAGTTGTCTTACCTTCATACAGCCAGTCAGCAAGGCCATTGAAGACAACTCCCTCTTGGCCAGTGGAAACCAGGCGGATCGCTCGGCTCTCTATCGTTGTTTTGTAGTAGATGTTATTTTCAAATATGAAGATCTGGACAGAGAAATTCAGACCAGTGGCTATCGTTAATGTGTATCACGTGTAATGTAAATGGTCATGTGTATTGCTCCCATTGATTCACACCTAAATTTTAATTTCCTGTAGTGCAAAGCTGGGAACATTTTTCCTCAGCCGCTGCATCTCACATTCTGCTATGTACAGTACGAGCCCTTATGCCAAACCCACTTGTGGCTTTTTTCACAGCATGACCTAATCCAGATAGAAACACAGCTTCCCACTCAATAACACTTACAGGCTAATATAGTCTCAGTCAACACCTGCCTTAAGCACTGTATTAACGAATATTTTCCTCATTATGGTTCAAGCTGGATTCCTCTCCAAAGCAGTATGAAACTTGTTCTGTTGCTAATCAAGGCGCTGGAGCTGGCTGCGACCCTGCAGGCACACACATATAACTGAAGACATACCCAAGCACAAACACACCATTTTCCCCCAGTGTTTATTGAGACATTATGCTGTCTTCTGGGGGTGGAAGATGGCTGAGCTAAATAGCGGGTAAGACTGCTGATTTAAGCCCTCAGCACCAACGATGGCATCGGCTGAAAGAATTAAGACACATCGCTAGCAGATGAGTGTGTGACACTTATAACCCTCTGTCAATCCACTCCAGTGTTTTCGCTGCTTCGCCTGGTGCCATTATGAGGGAGATGAATGTGGGATTGATTGGTATCTGAAGCTCTGGCGTTTCTTTTGGCGTAGCTGGGCTGTCAGCTGAAACCTCTTCAGTTTAATCTAAGCCTCAAATCGCCATCACGAGAATCAGAAAAGAGAAAGACATGGCTCCTTTCACGCTGATCTATGGCTACTGTTGAGAAAATCAAAGTTTTATACTGTGGGATCAACATCTGAGGAAAACAGATCAATGCAGGGCTGTGTAAAGCAAAGGAAGCTGGTGGGTGGCGAATGTTGCAAAACCGCCATGGGACATAAAGAAAATCATAGGCAGCTTTCAAAGAGCTACATAAAAATTCAATTCTCAGTATTTTAATTATTATGAATAATACCTTGGCAAAAGCTGCCTCAAGACTTCAAGTTCAAAGGACTCATTGTCAGCACAGAACCCATAGCATTTAGTCATAAATGATCCTGAATGGCCCCTGAAAACTAGAATAATTTGTAAAGGAGGTGGCAATTGCTTGACTTAAAAATTTTCAGATGATTAAGTTGAGAGAGAAAAGAGAGAATGAGCAAAAGGCTAAAAAAGAGCCATTTCAAAAGGGTGGCAAAATGAAAGTAGCAACAACAAAGATACCTGTGGAGCTTAAAGAGCAGGGTTGCTTATTTGTATTTGAGCGTGTCTCCATGTGCATGGGTGTTTTTTGATGTGAAATACAACGATATGTTCATTTGTTTTAATTTCTTTTTCTTAAACTCACCCCTCTCTGTTTCCTCCCCCTCCTGTTTTTGTCTCAATATAACCTCTTTCTTAGGTGTGTGTATGTGTGTGTGAAGGTGTATGTGTGTGTGTCGACTCAGCCTCACTGATTGCTCTGTCACAGCAGAGTAATTGCTTGCAGTTTAATGAGGGGAGCATTGCAGGATTCATCTCCCTGCTCCTCTCACTGTACATCGGATGCTTCAATGCACACAGCCATACTGCCACAAACACTCATACACACCTTTCATTTATACGTGCTGATGAAACACTTGATGATAAATTGCTCCAGTTCTGATAAACTTAATGGGAAATCATTATTTTTACAAACCCTGAGTGAAAAAAAGAAAACATGTCCAACATTGCCAGGTCAGACAAAGACAAAAGACGAAAGCTTATCTCATTTTTCTCGCATAACCTCTGCTGTTCATTAAATCAAACGCGAAGCTACAGTAACAGCATTGTGAAAGGAACAATCAGGTACAATATTACCATATGCAAATTAATCTGCTTTCTTCCCTCAGCAGGCAAAGTCTCACCACATACTTGAAATGTTAATATTTTCTCACAGCAGTGTATCTGTAATTTAAGCAAATGATACAATAAGAGCAATTATGGAGGTACAGAAAGCTTTTAAGTAACAGCTGATGAAACTGTTGTCTAAACAAAGCAATCCAAACAAAAACTACTAAAGTCAACAAGGTAAAACAAAAGGGAAGTATTGGATTAGGCAGGAGAAAAAGCTAAAAGATTTTCAGATTCAATCACTGGCACTTTTAAGCTTGTTAAAGGATAAGGCATAATTCTATATTTTTCTCACTGTCAACAAATCCCATAAAAAGACCAAAACCAACAACATGTCACTTCTAATACTCAAAAATGGGTAACAAATATATAGTTTAGTGTAGTATAGTTTTTTTTTTTTTTTTAAAAAGGTACAATAATTTCCTAAAACAGCTGGGCACTGGGTCTATTAGCCAACTCTACTCAGACAGGATGAAATAGCACATATTCTGGGACTATTTTCAGTTGCAGATTAATACACATTTGGTGCACTATTGTAGCCCCAAAAAACATGCCACCAGTGCAATAGTGTGGCTCAATGATGTGTTTTTAAGAGTTTTAGGACAACAGGATAAATGTAATGATGATTTTGGTCTTTTCTTTGGATTTGTTGACAAAAAAAAAGTCCTCAAATTAAAACAACAAAATACACAATTTGTAACTGCCAGGACAACACATGTACATAAAGACACATATAATATGTGGTTTTGATCTGACAGCCCTCGCAGCAGAATGACAGTTTATCAGCGCTTTCTGAAACCATCACAAGTAACAGTGTTTTTGATCTGACAATGCTATGGTTGAGGTTTAGTTAGGTCAGGCAACTCAACAACAATATAACTCCACTTCCTCCTTTGCTCCTGATGAACAAGAGTCATAATTCCAGTGGCTGCTGGAGGTTGTCACTTGAAACATGAAACCTGCTCTCACTGCCAAACTGACTGACATGTCCTTTAATACATGAAATAATGCTAGATAACAAATCTTCAAATACAACAGTGAAACATTTTCATGTTTATGTATAATCAGTTGCAAAATTGCTTTTTTTTCCATCTCTGATTGACTTTAAATACTTCATTAAATCATGTTTTATTGAGTTTACCAAAAACAGTTCTCTCCACTGCTACTGTTGAGTTTATAATAGCTTGCATTATTCTAAATAAGCTTCCTGCGCAGCTCATAACAAACACAGTCAGGGATGAGGGTTTGAAAATAAACAAAAAAAAGTAGTCACTTTTTTGGTGGAGAGAAGAAAGGTGTGTTGAATCCAAGGATGCCAGCAAAATTGTTTGTGGGGCTTTCTTCTAAAAATATTTCTGCACTCTTTAAACTTTTCAAAGCAACAAAAACATTTTATTCCTTAATACCAATGGACAATGAAAAAACGAATGAATGGAAAAGCCAAATAGAGCTGCAGTAAAATCAAATTCAAGACATCAATTTTGTTTGCACAATTGGGCAAACTGTCTCCAATCAGCTGGTCTGTTTTTCAAAGTCTATCCCCTCTCCACGTCAGTGCCATGTGTTTGCTCCCCCGCAGAAACCCCACACTGTCCAAGCCATGGGTTGTGCCGCCGAGATGCCATCTGCCACTGTGGCTCTCACCAGCTCACGTTGTCGTGAAGTTGTGAAATGAAAAAAAACCCAACATTTTGGTTTCACGGTGACATTGACGCAGGTCAACGTAAAGACAGTTCACCCTTGGACCCTTAATGTAGTCATTACAGTGTACATACACCTCTTATCACCACGGCATTTGTCTGTTTTGCTGTGACAGACTATAAATCACTACTCAGCCTCCTCTGCCATGCCAGGCTGATTCTGACAGATGTCCACTAGTGTGCCAGCATTTAGTGAGTGTTATCTCAAGGGTACGGCCTCCTTACCAGCTGCTGGCCTCGGGGTCCCCATCCAGCAAACTGCAGGGCAGCTTCATGCACCTCAGGAGGGTTCAGAGGCCAGGTCTCCCTGTGGAGATGACATATTAAAGAATACATTCAGTTTTTGTCTGTATGTACACTACATCCACAATGTATGCTGAATAAGTCAATACAAATGCACAGTCAGAGCAGAGAAGTTTTGTGTGTTTTTTGGCTTGATCCCTCACTGTAGGCTTCATCAATCATCCATGTCCTTTTTTTAGCTCAAGCTGACTTTGCTTGGCTCACTGCAAATACAGAACAGTGGGGAAATAAACAGACATAGATGGATGAAAGGCTAAAAACAGGCCGGGCTGAATGCAGCACACAAAACTAAATTGAACTTAAATGCATTCCCACAGCGTAGCGGCCAAAGCAGGTAAATGGGGCTGGCATCAGTGGACTGTCTACATGAGGTCAGGCTGAGGGCATATTGCCCAGTCCAAGATGTGTGAGAGGAAGAGGACACACAAGGCACCAAAACACAACAGAAAATAAAGGAAGACACAACAGAGATGAGTCTTACTGTGTCGTGAGGCTGTAAATAATGTACTTGGCCACATAGGAGTGTTGATAGATCTGTGGAAACAAACAGCATCACAGTCAAAGAAGGACAAAGTCTGGGAAAATTATGTGGTGCAGTTCGAGGTAGTACAGGGTTTCCCACCGGTTTTACTTCAAAGGCAAACAACACATGTTCCATGTCTGGAGATACTTGGTACATGGCGGCTCTGGATCTGTCCTATATGGGATAAAAAAAACACACACACTCACAGTAGTAATGCACACATTACAGTATCAGAAAGTATACTTACTGCTTTTGGAGTAAATTATAGGCAAGATGATACTCACAAACAACTGGTTCGGCACGATAACCACACTGTTCTTCGTGTCAGCATTAAGCTTAACAACATCCCCTTTCCTTGTACGATACAGGAGCTCATTGTCTGTAAATGACAAAAAAAAAACAACCATCAGAGATGGAGATGGTAGGAACTGCACTGGTATATAGTTTCTCCCAGGTTTCTGTTTATAGTGTCTTTATAGTGTCTTGTCCTCCTCCTGCACCTTCATCAAAATCCCTGTTTAAAGTGATATGGCTAACTTGTTAGCAAACAGTCTCTTATTTACACATCCAGCAGTTACAGAGCAACATTATCATTCATTTAGAGACGCGTTTCTAACCACCTGGAAAATATAAGTACAATATTCACCCTTTTTTAGCTCAGTTTTTGGTCCCCACCAACTCCCAGAGTAAACATCTGGCTCTTTAGCTGTTAAATGCTCCACTATGTTCACCAGTCACTTGCTAACTTTGTCTTTCTGTTGTTCGGTGCTGGGCAGGTAGAATAAAGTCTTTTTTCTTCAAAACATCTGTCATTGGAAGACAGACTTAAAAAAAGGCTGTGAGTGTGTGATATACGTCCTTGACAGCACTCAGCACAGGGTATCTGCCCTGTGGACTGCTGTAATGCTGCTGTCCTAACCATCCTGCTCTGAGAACAGCAAAACCGTCTCATCTTCTATAGTAAGTAAAGTAAGTGGGTAAGTAAAGCTTATTTATACAACACCCTTCACAGACATGAGTCACAAAGTGCTTCAGAGAGCCAAAAACAGTTAAGATAGGAGAAGAAGTTGGTTAAATGCCAGTTTGCCAATTGCTTTCTCTGGTTACCTTAGCACTAAAAGACAGTGTTTTGAAAATGAAGGCACAAGATTTAATTCTGTTGTGCATGTTGTGCAATCATTTAAAGCTTGGGTTCAAACTAAACTTTCTCAAACACAAATTCTCTTTTTTTTCCTTGACAGGTTGATTTTCTCAGAAATGTCTCAAATTTGTTGCCTTGTGATAAAACATGCGCATTCAGAGAGAGAAATGGCAAAACAACTGCTCAGCAAACGAGACAGTTAAAGTGTCTGGCTCAGGCCATGACACACTGACCAAACGAATTTGGTGACGCCTGTTTGTGACAGTAGAAATTTTCATCTTGTGGATGCAGTTTCACTTTATTACCATTTTTTAGTACCAAACAAGAGTTGGTAATGTTGGTGGATATTGAGTCTACAGTGGAAACTGTGATAGAGCCAAACCAATTTCATAAGATCTGAGCCGGGAGTCATAAAGAGAAGTGATGGTAATTCAGTTGCCAAAGTTGGTGTTTTGTTTCATGAGTAGATTTATCCACAGATGCTTCATGTTTATGGCCTGTGTTCATTGTTGGGCAATATCATATTCTGTTGCATCTCAAAAATATGAATGCATCAGCTCAGTCTGAAGGTCGAATCCTGTGTCTTTGGATCCGAGTCTGTGTGAGAAACTCAGAGGTGAGTCCAAAGACTACAGAGGCGAACGGTGATCAAAGAGCAACGGGGATCAATTACGCACTGCTGTGAATGAAGCCCACAAAATATTGATGAGGACTACTGAAGTGTGAAGTTGTCCCATTGGGCTTCTTATCAGAAGGTCATTAGCACCAAATGGGAGCTGACTGCATTAACTTAACTGACAAGATGCAATGTCACACAATTGATTGCCAGGGTTTCGTCAGGTGCTAAGGACGTTTTCATCATTGCTGTGAATGAAGGGCACAGAAACCCAAGAACTTAACTAATTATATGTTAATAAGCCTGTAATGTAAGTAATCAGGGGAACAGTCTGCGCCGTAGAACAGAAGGACAGATGTAAGGTCGTAATGTGTCTGTCAGCACTGAGGAGCTGTGAGTTCGCATATGTACAGATGATAATGTGAATTTATTATAACAGCTATATTCAAACGTATACATGTGAGACACCAAGTATGTTTATGCATAAGCTGTTTGTCTCTGAATGTGTGAACCATCTGATTTCGGTAATATAGTTTTAATTTTCGTCATTTGCTTGTCTTGAAACACAGTTTCAGTCAAAAACTCTTTACAGAATACAATATGAAAAAACTCTATAAAATCAATTGCTTTATAATGTGAAGAAAGAAGTTTAAATCTGGACACTGAGCAACTTTTTAGATTAGATACGTGTAATTACGTATAAAAAAAATCAGGTGAATTCATTACAACAAAGTCTGTCCTTGTTACTAAGATAAAAGACAAATCCAAAATTGGTTAGTCTGAAAGAATACTAAACATGAAAGTTCATTTTCAACTTTGGAAACAAAATTTGACAAAAAAAAAAAAAATCACTTCACTTAAGGTTTTCTCACTATTTTTTCTGGAGCTTTTACTTTTGCCCTAAGCAAAATTCATCCACCGAAAAAGACTGAATGGAAAGCTATTGAAAAAGCTCTGAAGTGGACAGTGGGTTAAAATAAAAAATTACTATCAAATGACAAAATGCACTTGGTTGACAATGTCTGCTTTGTTCATTTAATTCTGAGAACCCCAAACCTAAGGATATGTCAAATCCAGATGTTACAAGGTATATCTATTGTATAGACCATTTTTAACATTCTCATGAAAATCACCAAAAAACTCTTACTATTATTACTATTCATTTGACAGACATCAATACTCTGTTCAGGCAGTCACAAACTGTTCATCCACATCTTTAATTTTTGATTCAGATTTTTTTGATTTTCTAGATGAAGTACTTTTTTTTCGTTCACAGATGATTTGTACAGCTGTTCCAGAGATCCTCAGCCCTGGGTGCTGTACTGTGACAACCAGACCAAATGTCAATATTTCCCCTGAGCTGATTGAAAACATTGTAAGTACTCTACAAGCAAATACAGTTATTAATATCCCTTACTAAAAAAATGTTAACAAGAACATATTGTTCATTGGTAGTAGTTGTACTCACAAGTACTCACAATGAACAGTAAAAACTCATAATCGTCCTAACAATGAAGCATCTCTGATCACTGAAGCTGAGAATGATTTCAAGTACTTTTCCTGTCAAACACCAGGGGGCACTGAGCCAGCTGATCCAACATGTATGAGCTCAGCCAGGAGCTTCCTACTTGCTACCTTGTCAAGGTTAGAGAGGCCACAGCAAATCCATCCTACTGAACATCTGTTCAGTTTAGACCATCTTACTGTTCGCCTAGTACACAGCATGCTGAATTTGTAGAACATGCTAAATGAGCTGGAAAACTGGTGTATTTGTTGTCTATGTGGACGGATAAAAATCATAGCCAGAATGAGTTAATGCGAATCTACATAATGTTGCATAACATCTGTGTCTTTAGGAAAGAGGATCACAGTTATTGTAAAAAAACAAAAACAAAAAGTCCCAACCGAGCTATGATTTTTTTTGTCTTTTACTACCATGATGTTTTTTTATCAGGATAGATAAAAGGATAGATAGAGAGTAACTAACAGTCAAAGATCTGTGCGCACAGTTCAGGTATAGTAGCATTAGCTACAGAAAAAGACAGGTTTAATGATCTCCCTGCAGAGGAAAGGCTTTGTTTGTTATGCGATTTAAGTGAGACTGAAGACAAAGTATTTTCTTGCTCATTTTCCTAAGACCTCACATCTCTTCGCTCATTTAAATCTTGAGCCCAATAGCTATTCATCCTTAGATATCCCACATAGGCTGTGCATCAACCTTAGCAGAACTAGTTTCAGGAACTGTGCACCTTTTAAATGGAATGAACTGCAAACAACCCTGAGACTGATTCTTTCCTTCCCCTTGGAGATTTTAAAGCGTTATTACCTGATATTCTTTATAAAACATATTTTTATTTTGTTGCTCGATTTAATTCTTCTGGTTGTATGATTAGAAAAAAAAACTTCTGTGTTATTCAACTAGTTGTGTTCTAGCAAGGGAATTATTTTCGTGCCAATTTTGTTGCCAGAGCTTCAGAAAGGAGGCAGAGTTCTTTGTTTGCAATGTAATGTTATACATCAGTATTATTTCAGCACTACATCGCTTTTCGGTGCTTATTAAGTTCCCGTCGACTACTGTGAGGACAAACCATGAAAATACTTCAGATTTTAATACCAGTGGTGCAGTTGTATGCAAAAGTTTGGACACCCCTGGGCAGATTCCATATTTGGTTGACTTTTGACATGAAAAGAAGTGAATACAACCCCTGCAACAAACAGACATAAAACCCCGAAGCAGAATATTTCCACCCTGGTGCTAAACACTTGACAAGATGTTCTTTTCGTCAAATACTGCTCTTTTTTTTCTCCAAACACATCTTGTCTATACCTGTCTATACTTCTAAAACAGCTCTGGCTCATCCAGATGTTTCTTTGCATACTTCAGATGTTGACTTTTCTGATGAAGTTGCAGGTAAGGTTCCCTGTAGACCCTGTTTGTGCATCAACTCTGACAACATGCAGTTTTACCTTTAGGTTTTCTTGGTCTTCCAGACCTTGTCGTGACTTCCACAGTTCCCCGGTAACTGCAATTTCTTCAGCGGAAATTTCAAGCTGGAAACACTTTGATATCTTTTTATAGCCTGCTCCTGCTTTGTAGCATCAATTAGCTTCACTCAGTTCCTCAGCCTGTGGTTGTTGAGTGTTACCAGAAGGTTTGAAGAGTCAGAGAATTTATCATCAGCTGATAATTTCTGATGATAGCTCTGAGATTTTACATGTAAACAGTAAAACTTTTGCATACGCAACGGTTCATTAAATAAAAGGTAACAGTGCAGTAACATTCAAAGAAAAGCTCATTCTTTAATGTCTGTTTGCTGCAGGGGTTGTATTTATTTCTTTTCTCTTCATGGAATTTGTCCAGGAGAGCCCAAACTTGTGCAAACAATTGTATATTCTGAGGAAATATGGACAACTTCGATGCCTGTCATAATTCGCCTGGAAGTGTTTTGTGTTTTGACATGAGAGTCAGATCCTAAATGTCAAACACAAACTGTTCACTCACCGCTGAGCCATTTGGCATGTGGGTCATGGATGTGAAGGCTTGGACCAAAGACATCCTCTATAGTCACTTTCTTCTTAAGGGCAAGGCTGTCATCTTCACCTGTCAAGTGCATCAAGAAAAGACAAATAAACACGGATAAATTAAATACGATATAGAGAAGCTCACATATATATTCATAAATGTCTTGTTGATTTTTGAAGAAAACGTCAAGAAGCTGTCTTTCGGTATTGTGAGCTTTATTAGCATTTCAAGCAAGTAAGTTTACTAGTGTCTGAGAAAGAAATGAAGAAAATCTTTTGACTTTTTCATCAGTAAAGGGAGCTGCAGCCTCATACCAGAGACTGTCACCATTTCACTACAATATACTCCTTTTCTATCTCTTGAGATAGCACCTCCGACAACTATTCCCCACTATAGGTAGAGCAATTTGGAACAAGGCACAAACAAGAAAGGGGCCCCTGGTATTGCTCTATTGATCTGAGAGCATCAGATCACATCTGCCTTCTTCATTTTTCAGCAGCGGGTGGGCAACTCTTTCCATCCCCAAAACTCAAGATGAGATCTGAAGCTGACAGCTGAACTGCAGGTGGAGCAGACGCCAGGGGAACGCAAATGAGTTAGTGTGGATGTGAGGAAAGAGACGCAGCGAGTGTGAGCCCTTTAACTGTCTTCTACCACACCTTTAGTCAGGAAACAACCGTTAGAGACAAGTTGTCACGATGGCTGACAGCCCAGTCTTACTGTATAAAACGGTAAGTTGACAGATTCTTCGGCAGGCTTCACAGTGTGACTGAGTGGAGGGATCTGAGTGTGTAAATACCATGTCAGACATTGTCAAGTGTTTATCGACTTGAAAACTCGCAGAAATTCTCTTGTCTGGCAAGAAGCTGCAGGGTGAGGGGAGAGAACTAATTTCCAACACGATGCAAATGGTATCTCTGATGCTGTTCCAATCTGACAAATGGCTGAAGCTATTACTGCATAATCATCTCCATTAAACAGGCCTGAATGGCATCACACATTAAAAGGCCCATTACCTAGTGAGACGATGACCCTGCCTCTATATAAAACTGTTATACAATCACCAACCTGGAGAAACCATGTCATCTGTAAAACCTTGAACCTATCGAAACAAGGTTATCAAATTAAAATAGCTGCCTGCTTGGCGCAAAGAAAGCCGAACACTACTGCCAAGAGGAGAAAGAAAGGGATTTCATCGGAGGTGTGTCTGCAATACTGAATTTAAAGCCGAGCATGTGTGTAGGATATGTGTGCACCGAGGCAGCAAACATCTAAGCAGGTGCGTGTGAATACTCTTTTCTCTACTGGCTCTGGTTACTTAGCAGGAAATCTAAAAAGACAGATTTTAATGGAATTTGGTGCAACATTAGGCCCAAGAGCAACAACGATTAGCTTACGATGAGAATTCAGTTTTCGTTTACAAATTCTTTGCATCATTTGCAACATCTGGCACATTGTATCCCATGACTGCTTAGCACTTTGTTTGTTTTGATGCATGTTCAGTTCCAGATGCACATTAAAAAAAAAATATTCAGAACATTTTTTACTATTAAATTAATCACTTGAGATTCCTGGCAGAGGTATGTTGTCTCTCAGTTCAATCCGAGGTGTAAAACGTTTTTTCACGTCAAGGCCGTGTGGACTACATGTGGGCAAAGGCAGAGAACAAGTGCAAGTGAGAGAGACTGAATACTGTGTGTTTTGTTGCCTCCATCAGGGAAACCGTGATTTGTATCTCATCTGTTTGTCTGTTTGTTACCAGAATGTGTCGAGAACTGCAGTGCAATTTGATGGAACATAAGGTCGTGGCCTGAGAAACAATGATTTGTTGTTGGTTAGAATCCTGAAATTTTTTTTTTTTTTTCTTTCTTTCTTTCTTATTTTTGAACATTAAAACTATTTTCCCATGAGTCAACGGTGCTAAATCTGGCAATGGCACAACATTACCCATAACTGTCTATAACCTTCAATATTTGGCAACCCTATTGTCAAACAAGACCGTGAATTTTTTTACCTCCAATAATCAAATGCTAGGGCATGCAGGGCACCTACAGTATTATTAAGGTAAGATGGTGGTTGTGGTAGATATACAATGGTTAAGGTGTGGGTAGGGTAAGGCAACTAAAACCCTTGGATAAATTTAGAGAAACGATTGTGTTTATAGTTAATATCAAGGTGAACATTAATTCCAGGTCTGTGTCGGGCAGTAAATTCTGGTTTCCTGCATGGAACCCCCCCCCCAAACATACCTGGAATGATATAAACAAGCTGATTGCTGATATATGTGTTTGTGAATGTGTGTGTACTGCACATACGAGGAGTCAGCAGGATGACGGAGGTGACAATCAGGGAACAGATGATCAGGATGACCAGCAGGGCGATGGCTATTCCCTTCCAGTTCCTCTGAGGTGGAGCGCTGCCCACAAGGTCCTGAAAACATATACATTACATACATTACACTTAAAAATATCAGCTTTTCAGTGATAATAGATAAAATGATTTCCCTCCTTGTAGGCTTGATCTCAAAATGGATACACAGCGTTTTGGAGCTCATCTCATCCTACATAAGACAGATGTATTTTGTACTATCACAGTCGGAAGCAGAGATTGGCCAGAGGACAGCTCATTCTCTGTCAGACAGATGCCGACAACTCAGCCACTTGTGTGCAGTAACACTGCATCCTCGAGCTGCTCCCCGCTGCTCGCATACGAAGAGTCCCTGCAGCTTTGCCTGATAGCTGAAGAGGAGCTATGGCTTCAATTCAGACAACAAAAGGCAGAATAATGAGCTGCTCTCTTCACTCAGCCCAGCAGATGGTAGATAGCTAATCAGCTCTATTCCAAACACATATACTGCAAAAAATCCACAGGACATACAAAACAGAAGTTGGGAAGGCAGCAATCAGGTGCCCTTGAAGACTGCCCGATACTCAAAAACGCTTATCTTAAACTTTTTGATCTAAAAGCTCCTTAGAGGGGTTTTTACTGTGTGATTTCTCTGGCATAAACGCACAAACACCCACCATCATCCACTCCTTGACACACAGTGTCTGTACCAAAGCAACAAGCAAACAGACTGTTTTTCTTTCTTTCTTGAATCGCTTCCTTGTGGTGTTGTCGCTACATTTCTCAGCCACACGAGTCATATTGTCATTTTCAATACAGGTTAGGCTATTCAGAAACACTATCACTCGGCATGCGAGTGGCGCTACAGATGTCAGTGGCTCCTGAACCTTTTTTATTTTAACCCCACAGCACTGGGAGATGAAGTGTCTCCTGTACCACCTGTTGTTCATTTGAACCTCCTTATACACAGTCTATGATTCAAACTGGTTATTAACTGTATGATTTTTTTTGATACAAGGAAACTGTCAATGTTTAGCTCAGGTTTGGTGGATATTAGCTCAACCATTTATTTATTACTTTTAGCCAAACCTTTCAACACGTTATTCAACTGCTCATCAATGCCTTTTAGCTATTTTCTTCAAGTTTTTAGTCATTACTTTTGGTTAAATATTTCAACCATTCATTCATTATTTTAAGATAGTCAGTTATCCATGCTTTTAGCAAACTATTTGAACCATTTATCCATCTCTTACTCACTATGCCAAATATTTCAGCTGTTTATCTAGTACTTTCAGCTAACCACTTCACCTTACCCATAAAATACTTTGTGTATTCTGTTTCAATCATTTACCCATTACTTTTACTTATCTATTTCATTAGTTTTAGCTATTTCAACCATTTGTCCAGTACTTCAGCTAACTCACCTGTTTATCGAATACTTTTTGCTATCTGTTTCAATCATTTATTCATTGCAGTTTAGACTTGGTGTATGAATTACAGCTTACAGTTTATCAAAAACATAATTTCTCTTTTTTCAAGTTAGTTTGAGCCACTCCAAAATCTTTCCACATATCTCCTGGTAACTGCAGGTGTACAACCTGTGAACCCCTGGTTGGAGAGCAGCTCCAGATCACTGCACTGGGATACCTTTTACAAATTAATGAAATTTGCCCTTAAGGAGTTGAAGGAGTTAAGTTCGGAAACTCAGTATTTAGGCATCAGATGTCATTCCTATCTAATTTAACCTCTCAGACTGTGTGTGTGTGCAAAGACAGATGTGTGCGCACACACACACACATATTAATATCTCTGGTCACACTTGGTGAGGAAACTGAGCAGCTCCAGCCACCCGCATCAGTCCAGCTGTTGATACCCTTGTAACCAATTAGACCTGGTCTATACAGCATGCATCAGCTCAGTGAACCATCTACAAGTTAATGAGGGGTGTGTCTGTCTGTGTGAGTATGCATGCGCCTGTAAATGTGAGAGCGAAACAGACGGCTCAGCTCTTGGGCATAGTTGATGCTTTTTATATCCTTCAACACTTTAAATGGCCACATTGCAAGTGACTTTCAATTTAAATGTACTTGGGGTTAGGGTTAGGGTAAGGTGTGTGTGTGTGTGTGTGTGTGTGTGTGTATTCATGTAACCTGTGCACCTACTATCTCTTCACAGTTTGTCTCACAACAAAGCAAATCAATACTGTAGGTAGTGAGTACACATAGAAAAACAGCAGGAACATCAATAAGCTGATTTATTGCTGCAGAGGTAAGGATTTTCACGATAACGCGTACAGACTTACGGTACTGGATTCACAAGATATTAATCTCCCTGCGTTATCATACTCTAAAAGGAAAGACGCTGTTGAAGTTGCCATTGATATCAACAATCACTTCAGACCTCTGACCAAGGCAGAAATAAAATAATCAGATGCTTTGACAGGCATATAGATAACAGCCTTGTGTCTGCATATGCTCACTTGTTTTTTTTTTTTTTTTTTGTATATGCCTGCGTTGAAAATGGCAAACCATTTAGTGCGGGCAGGTGATTTAAATGCATCCCGTTATCCAGTTCAGTGCAGCCTGTACCTGACTGAGAGGTGCAGATCTATAAATGTGACAGCTGGATTCATGCCACATGACAGAGCAAAAGTATCTCTCAGTACTTTGATACCAGCCTAGGAGGCAAGTGAGTAAATATTTAGTTCCAGTCATTTTGCCACCCATGACAAATCCAGCACACTCATTGTTGCCAGAGCACAAAAGGCACAAGGTGAAATTATTTCAGAGAGCCTACTTTTTGAATCTTAAATACATCTCCCACAGGCCCTGTGGGCTAATTCAGGCTGTGAAAAAGTAGGATGCAGACAACTTGACGAGCTTCCCTCCGGTGCTTGGCATTTCTGTAAACAGACACCCAATTATTCAATAAGAAGTCAGGGAGCTCTCAATGGACAGTCAAATACTGTTGGACGTTTGCCTTTTCTCACTGTGAGGTTCTCAATGAAGGAGCAACTGGTTGAAATGGATATGACTATTAACCTTCACTGTCAATATGCCTGGATACTGTATTTCAACACCGACTTGAGAACGATTTGATCATTGATTATTGTACTTCCTGTGACAGGCTAAGCAGTGGTCAACAGAGCCGTTAAAACAGCTGTCACTGCTGTTTAAACCACATACTCAGCTAACAAAAGCTTTTGTAGAGTACAAGATTAAGAACAAGCATCAGGAGTTTTTTGGACCTTAAAGATTTGCTATGCAAGATTTTTTTAATGAAAAAAATACATTGAAATTCAGTTATGTCATTGCCAATCACCTCAATTCCTTTCTGGTGTTACGTGGACACGTTTCCACCAAAAAGAAGTCACAGTTAAAGATGTAGGAGGTAAACTGCCTTGTAAGTCACACTACTTTTTCTCCAAGAGAGGTTTGAGAGTAGTTTCCATGTTCTACAAGTAAAACGCCTGCAGATTAGGTTCTTCACTGACCCTTACACTGCTAAATCAGACAGTTTGAAACCCCCATTAGTGGCTACATAGAAATGGTTGAACTGTCTGAAGAGTGAAAACCAATTTGAGAAAAGGGATCACAGAGTCTTGGAAAAGTGTGTCCATGGAGAAAAATTTTCCAATATGAAACACACAAGACTAAAAGTGTCAATGTATAAGTCTAATGATATTTGTGAATTTTTTTTCTTCACATAAAAACAACAACCAAGCATCAAGCTTTCTTTAATGACACAAATAAAAGAGTTGCTTTGGCCATACCACTGTATGTAGAGGCTTGCCTCTTATTTATTAATTCAATTATTGTCTTTCTTGTTAAAGACACCAGAACAATGTGTTTAAAACCTAGCCTCAAAAGTAGCATTATCTGTTTTAAAACAGCACAGCCCTCTAATACAATCCGCCGTTATTAAAGTGTCTTAGCTCTGATTGCTTTATCCCTGCAGACTGCTTTATCCCTCTGGAACCGTTCATGCACCTACTCAACCGCAAACGAACAGAAAGCTCCAAACTCAGGCTGAATTCACTCTCATAAAATGTATGAAAATCATCAGCACCCCCTTTGTTTCCTGCAAATGAAAACCCTTAAGAGACGCACTATACAAAATCTAACTTCTGATTTGATTTCCCTGATGCTGAGCTCATGTTTTAGTATATAATAAACTGTGAAGCTGTAAACTTTAGTATTCTCTGGATGTTGACCTTCCTGAAGAGCTCTTAACAAGGCAAAAAAGTGCATCCGTGTGCGATAGGAGAGCTCGATCTTTGGCAGCGTTGTCAGGCGTGGTGAGACGTGGTAACTGGCTGTTTGCATTAAGCCATCTCTTTCTGTTAGCTTGTGTGAAGAGCAGGCATGCATGCCTTACAGCTGATAACAATAAAAGCTGCATCAATAAATGACAACTGCAGCTATTTTCACCCACTCCGCTACAAACATCAAATCTAAACAAACCCTGTGCATTTCAGTGCCGGCAACTCTAAAGGGTAGAAAATCCCATGAGGGGAAGCAGCAACATTTTTCAATCCATTTGCCACTATTTTATTTTGAGACAAAGGGGCTATAAGAATAAAGCATCTTTTAAGGTCAAGCTTCCTTTACCCCCCCCCCCAACCCCCTACTTTCTCTCTCTAATCCTCTCTCCCTTCCACTTTCCCTTTGTCTAACCATCTCTTTGTCTCTCTGCTTGCAGCTGAAGTGTGAAATGGATCTTTCCTGATCTCTGAGCACCTGGTTTCCAAGGGAACCAAGAGAGCCATTTGAGTCACATTTGCAGTGAAGACGGTGCTGGCTGCTGTACAGTACAGCGGGGACTAATATTACGGCTGTGAGTGTCTTGTGGGAAATTTTGCCTTGGGGGGGGGGGTCCCTCATGAAATTAACTCAGGACTCAGAAAACAAGACACTCTCGAATATAACACGAGGGAATGTAGACATTTGAAACGAAAGCAAACTTCGGGTGTGTAAAGACATTGGACACTCGACACACGATATATCACTCAGTGTAATGTAGTCGCTGTTTGAGAGCAGCCAAACTCGAAGAGTGTGCAGTAGCCTTTGGACATGGGGGTAAAC